GTATATATATACTGTATATATAAAAAGAATTTATATATATATAGTGTGTATATAAATAATAAGTAAAATATACCAACTTTTTTGAGAAATAAAGACGTGTAATTTATTGGCAGAAAAAATAGGCAAATTTTGGCACTGATTGGATCGGATTAAACTGCTTGTGAGCCTTAAAAATACACGTTAGAATCTATGCTTTTTTTAAACAAAGTTTCTCAGAACATAGGACACAGTTTACACTAAAATATATTTAACTTTTTAATGACAACTAAACGTCCCCAGCAACATTAATGCGACTGGGAACTCAGATAAATCATATCAATAAATCATATGATTTTATTATTATTATTTTTTTTACATATTTCAGGAAACAAAAAAACCTGTACTAAAAATGAATACTAAATATGACGTGCTTTGAGATTCACGACAAACTTGAAAAAAATAATGACTTAGGTCATTATTTTTAGGAAGATGTTGATTACATGTTATGGCCCTGCTTCAGGAGCTGGTTAGAACCAGCTGAGGACGTTTTTATTATTATTATTATTATTATTATTAGTTTTATAATAATAAAACAGTTGTCTTTATGTTAGAATGATTTGATTTCCTACTGAGGAGGGAAAATTACATTTTTCTGAAGCACTGAAGCTTGCTTTGAAAAAGGTTCATTACTCGAGGCTTTCCCATGCAGGACTCTTTGGCGCCACCATGTGGCCAAAAGTATGAAGAGCAGCTTGAAACAACAAGAACAACTTCATTATGAAGCATCTCCTGATGTTACCAGCTGTTTAACATCAGGAGACATTTCTGTCTGTTATCAGGTGTCATTGTGCTGCTTTTGTGGGTGAAAGAATAAAGTTATTGTTATTTATGATTTATTATGAATAATATTTAAGTGGCATGATTATTTAAAAAAATCACAACTTATTCATAACTCTGAGGTTTGTGCTGCCAGTTCTCTGCCTCCATGACTTTATTCAACTAGTTTATTTTCATAGCGCTGTATGAGGGACAAAATGAAGACTATTGCACAACCAGCAGTTGCTACATCCTTGTAACAGGAGGCTATATCTGACCCAGATATTATCTGATTAATGATAGGCCGGCACCGATAACTGAGAGACTGGTGCTGGCAAATGAGAAGGAGACTACAACTACTATGCTAGTTGCTAGCCTGTCCAATGCTAATGCAAATGAATAGTCTCCTCCTCATTTGCTTCATTTGTCTATTATTAGTGTGCATCAGTAAACTGATAAATACAGCAGAGATACAGCAGGTAAAATAAGTATTGAACACGTCACCATTTTTCTCAGTAAATATATTACTAGAGGTGCTAATGACATGAAATTTTCACCAGATGTTGGTAACAACCCAAGTGATCCATACATACAAAGAAATCAAACCATAAATGTCCAGAAATGAAGTCTTGAAGCTGTCATTGACAACAAAGGC